ATTTTAAAAAATTTTATTAATTTTCCCCAGAGAAATCCCCGGGGAGTCGTCGGGGGAGAGTGAATTAGGGTTCTATTAATCAATAAGAAACTTGATGATAATCGATAGTAAAGATTTTAAGAATCGATAAAAAAAGATCTATATAATAATCAATAAGAAAGGTTTTAACAATAATCAGTAATATTAAAAAAGACAGATAAATGAAAACACAAAGAGCGAATGGAGAAAGGAAACGAACTATGCAATTTGAACTGAACATTATTCATCATTTGGATCAATCACAATGAACACAATACATTATTCTATACTTCATCTGATTATTCGCGCCAACTTCAATTAAAAAAAACGTTTATATCGAAAATAAAATTATATATATAAAGGATAGAGACAGGCCAGGCGGCCTGGTGTTTTTAAGCCGCCTGCCTGCCTGGAGGAGGGTTCGGCCTGGCCTGTCACAGGCAGGCCAGGCCTCAAGATCATGGCCTGTGCCTGTCACAGGCAGGCAGGCAGGCCTAGTGGCCTGGTTGATGCTCTGGTACCCACTGTAATTCAACAACAGTTATGAAAAATAATAATGATGAATAATAGGGATGAACAACTGGAGAAAAAAAGTGGAAGCAATCATATTTATATATATGAGGGAGAGAGAGAGAAACGAAGAGCGTAGACAACTTCAAAGAAGAACACATGGACCAATAAAGAAAGAACGAATATCTTTTAAGTTAGCGGCGACATAGTGTCATCTGTTGACGTTAACATGAACAATGCGTTTTTGTTTATTCTTCCTGTAATCTTTTCAAATAATTTCTATTTAAAAAACATAACAGAAAAATACCGTTTTGAGACAACTTCAGTATGCTAAAAAAATTGTTTCATTTCATTTGTAACGCTTTTTAAATTAATGTGTGTATTGAAAACTTCATAATACTGAAACCTAAATAAACTTAAGATTTTATCTTAATATTTTTTTTCCACGTCGATTCCGAGGCTTTTATTGAATCTCTAATCTCTTTTTTTGTTCGCATGCAAAATTTTATTGTTTAACAAAAAGAACGAATTACAATAAAGTCGTCACAATCATTTTTAAAACGTGTGCAATATATTCTTTCATTGATATTATAATATAGTCTTATATCGTTATCGAGAAAGAAACTTAAGAGAAATAGCTACCAAGTTTCTCCTACTTACTTATTAATGTATTTTAAAATCTTAAAAACACTTCTGAAAACTTATTTTTCAAAGAATTCTACATTCAATAGGAAAATCTAACTGATCACATTTTTTTTTATAGATTTATTCACAACATATTTTACTCATGATGTGTAAAAACAAAAGGATAGAATCTATAGAAAATTGATTTGCAACAAACAAGGAAAAAAATAAATCCATGAGAATATTTTGTTTTATCTTTTATTAAATGATTTTAACCATTCGAATAAATGATTGTGTATGAAATAGAATTAGAGAAAAATGAAAACTTAGCCCTTTCTTTTTCTTTCTTGTCATTGAAACAATTAAAATACTGATATATACATATATGTATTATTTATTCAAAAATATTTCTAATTTTTCTTGTCAATAAATCAGAATAATAAAAATAAACGATTACAATTGATATGAAATTCATTGAAATACTCTTTGGAATGTCTTCAAACTTTATAGCGAATGATTATTTATGAAAAAACCTTCATTTAGTAAGTGAACTTATATAAATAAGAAAACAAAAATGATAATTTTCTCTATACTTTACAAATATAAAAGAGATTTGATGGATTTCCTAATTCATGAATACAATTTTCTTCATAGATTAACGTTCTAACAGTCTTGGTAAAGACATAAATACTTCATTTTCTTATATGCTATTTATAAACACTATTTTTTCCTTAACACAAATCTGTAAAAATTCTAATTTAAAAACTCTTTTTAGTACAGTTTTAGCTATTCTTCGACTTCAGATGTTAATTGTGAGTATCAAATCACTTATTTAATAGAAAAGTCTTGCTAGTACACTCACAGAAACTTGTATCCTGAGACTCTCGAATATTATTATTTGCAACAACATCATTGTATTGAATCGTTATTCGGTATTTTTCAATAGAAAAACTTAAACATGTAACATATTCTTTTTTCTTATTATAGTGGAAAAAAATTCTATACGATAAATTTAGTTTTGAATCATCTTATTCGGATTTTAATGAATCTTCAGGTCAAAAAGTATTTATTAAATCTTCTGGAAATTTCTTCAAATCTTTTCTTTTTATCATTTGAATACTTTCAGAAATATCTGCAAAATCTTTACAATCATTCAACTTGACACTATCGAACTGTATACACTTCTATCGGAACGATGAGCAAAACGTTTTGCTTTTAAAATTCATGATTAAAAATTCAGTTGCAAGAAAATATAAAATAAATTTTCAGAAAAAATAATTACAATTACTTTTCTTTAATCTTAGAATTGGTTCCATTCCATTATTTCTTGAAAAAAAACACATATTTATTATTAATCTTTATTTAATAAGTAGATGGTAAATAACCACTCGTATTATAATTAAACAAGAAAAATCCAGTAAAATAATTATAAGTTGAAAGCTGATGCTTATTAAAACTTTATCAAAATCTATGTAGAACTAACTTTATTTGATTTTAAGAATTCTTTTTTCTCATGAAAATAATATTAAAATGAAATAGATTAAAATTTAATTAATTGTCTACTTCTCTTCTAATAGATTGTGATTAATAAAATTAAAATGATTCTTTTTTCATAAGAAGAAATATTGAATGAAAAAAAAGCTCTTTTCTTGCAACATACATATAAATAGAGAGTACATGATCTTTGTTGAATATAATAACTATTAGCGATTGATATTTATTTCATATTAAATGTATCAATTAAAATTTTTCAATTGATGAACCCAAATAAGAATAGAAAATGAAACAAACAAATAAACATAGAATAAAAACAACAATACTGTAGCACTGATCCTCCAAATAAGGGCCCACGCCAGTATTTTTAATATTAAGTATCCCAAGCAAAGCAATAGTAAAGTACCTCAGGTACATACGATTGTAGAAAAGTACTACGTTTTGCACCTAACGAAAAAACGCGAAGCCTGTTGACGGTACTTTGAAAAATAAAAAAGAGCTTTGCCTATTTCTTATCCTATTATTCAAAATAATGCTATATATTCTTCGCCATATGTATGTTTTACTGGTAGGGGGAGCTAAGAATTATTTTTATGTCGCTAGTAGCCGACTAATCAGCATATATTAGCGATGATTACCCAAGCAGGCAAACTTTTTGAAAAACGCGTTTAAACACTCAATCGGGAACCGCGATTGTGGATCATTAACGCTCATTAATAAAACACAATAAACGCGTTTTTTACGCAGAATTCTCACTCTCCGAGCGTGAAAACGCATAGAAACTACAATTTTTGAGCGTTTAACCGCACAATTATTCGATAAATTAAAAAACAATTCGTTTAAACGCTCAAAAATTGTAGTTTCTATGCGTTTTCGCGTTCGGAAAGTGAGAATTCTGCGTAAAAAACGCGTTTCTTGCGTTTCATTAATGAGCATTAATGACCCACAATCGCGGTTCCCGATTGAGTGTTTAAACACGTTTTTGAAAAAGTTTGTCTGCTTGGGTACTCTTTCTTCAGCTTTGATTGTAGAAAAAGAAATCATTTTTTCTTTTAAATCAATTTTTATTTATTAAAATAATTTGAAAAAAAGAAAAACCAAAAAATATATTAAAATGAATAAAATTAACAAAATAGAAGAATAAGGAAAATTAAAAGAAAATAATTTCTGAAAAATCAATACAAAAGAGATAAAAAAAATTAAAAAAACACTTAAAAAATAGCAGACGAATTATTGAAAAATATTGAAAAACAGTAAGAGAAAAATTAGAAAACTACAAAGAACAAATGAGAATTAACAATAGAATGTAAGAACATAATCGAAAAATCATATAAAAAATAATAAAAAAAGAAATTAAGAAATAAATGCAATTTATATTTTTTTGTATATTAGTGTTCAATCGATGAGAATGATACATTAGATGCATCTGATGACTTTAATTTCAACCAAACAGATTGTACGATCTTTCTTTTTATTGATTTTCTCTTATAGATAAAAGGGTACTAAGTATATTGTATTGCGTCGTTTGTTGTCATGACATTTGATATAGACTATTCTTATCAAAAAGAAAATGATAGGAAAAAAATTAGGTTATTCAATCGTTTTCTTATCCATACAAACTGTTTTACATGATGTTAGTTTTACGCCGTGGGCTGTCTACAGCTATTTCCTATGCTGCCAAACCTTTACTTAGTGTTGATCTTAATCGACCAGCCACAAATCAATTAATTCCTCTTCATAATCGTTGGCATCCCGATATTCCAAGTGTTGTATCGGTTCGTCAAGGTGACGTTTTTCGTGTTGAATGTGTTGATTGGACTGGAGGACAAATTGGCAATAATGATACAGCTGATGATGTGAAAAATGTTGATTTAACACGTATTCATTATTTATCAGGTCCAATCGAAGTTGAAGGTGCTCGCCCTGGTGATGTTCTTGCCGTTGATATACTTGATGTAGGTCCTCTTTCATCAGCTATGTGGGGTTTTACAGGAATATTTGATAAAAATAACGGAGGAGGATTTCTAGCTGATGTTTATCCTAATGCACATAAAGCTATTTGGGATTTCAGTGGAATTTATGCAACAAGTCGACATATAAAAAACGTTCGATTTGCTGGATTGACTCATCCAGGTAATTGAACTTTAGTTTTTAATTATGTTTTAATTGGTTATAAAAGGTATTATTGGTTGCGCTCCATCCCATGAACTTTTATCTAGATGGAATACACGTGAACGAGATTTAATTAATCGATGTACACATTCACATCATCAATATAATGTTCTTGCAAATCTACCTAATGAAAAAGGTGCTCTATTGGGTCGATTAAAATTTGAAGAAAACAAAGAGAAATGGCAAAAAGTTGCTAACGAAGGAGCTCGAACGATTCCACCTCGTGAACATGGCGGTAATACTGATATTAAAAATATATCACGAGGTTCACGCGTTTATTTACCTGTTTATGTCAATGGAGCAAAATTAAGCTTAGGTGATATTCATTTTTCACAGGGTGATGGAGAAATTGCATTTTGTGGTGCTATTGAAATGGTAGATCGAAGATTTCTTTTTTTTGTCTTCTTCTTCATTTTATCTATTTTATTTTTTATTGTAGAGTGGTTATGTTGATTTACATCTAGATATTATCAAAGATGGTATGTCACGTTTATCAATAAATAGCCCATTGATTCAGCCTGGTCCTGTTGAACCTCGTTATTCAAATTATTTAACATTTCAAGGAATATCAGTTAATGATAAAGACAAACAACATTTTCTTGATGCAACATTAGCTTATCGTCAAGCATGCTTTTCAGCTATTCGATATTTAAAACGTTTTGGTTATACAGAAGAACAATTATATTGTTTATTATCAGCTGCACCTGTTGAAGGACGTATTGGATCGATTGTTGATATTCCTAATGCATGTTGTACACTTTCTTTACCTATTGATATTTTTTCATTTGATATAAGACCAGAAACAGTTGAGCAAAATAATCAAAATATTTCTCGAGGACAATTGGCTAAAACAACATTTTAGAAAATTGTCAACCCATTTTTTAGTTTTACTAATTCTTTTTATTGAAATGTATTTTTTAATTACTATAATAAATATTGTATGATACAGTTAAATAACTAAGTCAATCATTTTTCGATAATGAAATTTAATGTTAAATAGTAAAATTTCGATTGGTATTAGAATCATTTGATTGATCGTGTGACCATAAATCTAATAAAAAATTGAACGAAGGACGTTGATAAAATAAACAAACAAAAAGGACAATAAAAAAAGAACTATTAAAATAAATACATACATAATATCATGCCATGTTGAATGAATTGAATTCATTGTCGAAATTTCATTTGATAAGATTTTATTAAATAATAAAAATATTCGTTTCACTTCATTTCAATATAAAGATTTTTCTCTCAAAGCTATCTTTCGATGAATTCCCTATAATAAGACAATGACAAATATTAAAAGTATCATTTCAAAGAAAAAAAAAGAAATTTCTCACTGTGACAGTTTTACCGTCAAATCTTGACATTTTTATGACAAAAAAAAGGAAACGACGCAAAAGTGAAATTCATTAAGTAACAATAAAATCTTCGACGAAAGTGAACAAAGGCAAATTAGCTTTTTTCTTTTGTTTCTCTCTCTCTTGTTTGTCTGAAATTAGGCGATTGACTTAATTAAACAAAAACAAAACTCCTTAGTTTTATCTCTTGATGAATATCATCAAGCACATGAATAGAAATGGATCCATTGAATTATAATTTGCATCAACTATAAATAAACATGGACAATGAGAATATCCGTTGTAAAAGAATTTTAATTCAAGAAAAACAAAATTATCTAGAATTACTTTAATCGACGAAAAAAATTATAATGAGCACAAATTTATTTGAGAACCTCACTTCTCATTATTTTCTTTCTTATTAATAAAATTCTCATATCATATTAGCAATGAAACGATATACAGAATGGCTCATATATATCTTTACGATAAAAGATTCGAATATCTGCACCATATTTCAATCTATCAGGCTGTTTTTTTTTATAGACAATAGAGAGATGATCAACGTTTTTACTCATCAGAAAACCATCGGGAAAATCATTGAAGTAAAGTCACGCTAAACCACCATGGTTTCTTAAATTCAGCGTGTCGAAAATAAACTGAGGTGACTTTTAGCATAATCACAGTATCACATAACGAAGTAACTCACGGTTTCATAAACCTCAGTATACCCCAATGATAACCGCATTTTTATAAGTCATGTGTTCATTTATATTCGAAGTCTAATAGCGCAATTCATATATTGATGCTTACCAATTGTGACACAAAAATTACATTAAACAAAGACTTATCACTTGGTGAAGGGTATGTTAGAACATGCTAAAATATTGAATTTTGCCTAGAAAACATCTCTACATCTGTTACAATGTCTGCAAATTCGAACGCATGAACGGAGAAAAGACAAAATTCAAAATATTAGAAAAAGTGCATTCTTTTTTTACTAAAGTACTGAGTGATATGTCGCTTGCCGAGTTGCCACTTCATGAAGTCTAAAAAGCGGCAATCAATACTGTTGCGAATCGTTAATAGATATCTAAAAATTTTAGCATTTATTGCATTTCTATGGGATTTGCTTAGTTTTATAAAATTTCAAAACATAATGATTTCTCTCAGCGTCACGAATAGAAAATGAGAGAGTAGTCACTCTTACATACAGAAACGACAGTGTTCTTCCATCAAATATGCACCAATAATTGAATAATACCGATTTCAACAATAGCTCATGCTTATTCTGTAGTGAATTTAAAATATTGAACCGGAGCCAACCCGGATCGCATGTCTACCTTGCCAAATTTGTACAGGCAAGTTAGAAAGACTTAATATTTTGGATTTAGATGTTTCAAATGATGATCTATCGTTTAAGAGTTCTAAGTCGAAAATTAAAAACTTTTATTGAAGAATGATTTGATAGCTAATCTTGCGGACAGTCTCTCAAAGAGAAAAAGGTTGTTAACTTCTGTAAACATATATGAATAATTATTTCACTGTTCGATAGTGACGCTTCTATGAGAAGACAATGAATAACAACTAAATATTTCAATGTCAAATATGATTATTTGATTAAAAATAGATTAATTCAAAGAATTTTTATTTCAATGATCATAGCCAATCGAAAACAAAGTATACATTAAAAATTACATATTCGTTTTCGTTGCAATATAAATTACTGAAGAATTTTAAATGTTTTTATCGAAATATTTTTGTGAAAATTGATCATCGAAAGCGTTTTCATTTTTAATAATTAATGAAAAACTAAAATGATAAAAGTGTATTTAACGTATTTTAACATTGGAAATTGGCTGTGGTAAATGAATATCTTCACTAAATATTGATTCATCTATAATTGGTGAATGTGTTTGTTTATTAACTTGAGAATTTTTAATAAAATTTTGTGATGAAAGATCATATTGAAAATCATGTCCAATTGTAATTGAATGCGAAGAATTTTTTCTTGAAATTGTAACAATAATTTGTCGATGCATCGATGGAATAACATCATATAATTGATGATGAGAATCTTTCCTTGACATGCACGCATTTTGTGATAGAGTACAACGAAAATGAAAATGAAGATTTTGGTTTAAATTTCGATTTTCAACAAGTAAAATAAGACCATCCCAATATTTTTTTAATTCATAAATTTTAACTCCATCGTTTAATTCATTTTCAGTTCGATTTTCTTTAACTACTGGTTCACCATAAATGATACAAAGTTTTATTAAAAATTCTCGTTGAATTCTTAATGGAATTTTCCTACGTTCAAGATCTATTGAATGAGAACTGTGAACAGCTAAAATAATTAATTATATATGTTTTCTTTTTAAAGAAAAAGAAAAATAACATAAAAAACAAACCTATATTAAATTCTGTACTATCAACATGTTTGTTGACAGGATTAAAAAGGAAAGGTAAAATAATATAATTTCCCGGTTGAAGATTACCATCAGTTGAAACAAATTTATGTTGACCAAGTTGACTTATTATTGGAATTGTACAAATTCTATAACTTCCATGAGCTTTCTCTTCCATATTAACAATAGCAACGCAAAGACTAACATCACTTCGTTGAATGCGAAGATTTTTACTTATTTTCCTATGAAGTGTTATATCGAGTTCAGTTGCAGTTTTAATATGTAAATAATAAGCTTGCATCATTCCTTGTTCAGGATAAAAATTACCTGAATCTCTAACTTCATACCAATCTGGTCTTATTTTACAAATATCAACACACTCGAAATATTTTACAAATGACTCAAATGGCATCCAAAATACTCCATCTCTTTTACTTCGTTTTTCTTTTAATAACTCTCGATGTAAATCTGGATTTTCATTCCATAAAAGACAATCATCGGACCAATCACCTAAAAAGAAAATCAAATTAGAAGTTAAAATAACTAATTCCAATCTAACCAATCCATGTATATTTTCCACCCCATGGATTTCTTAATTTAATTAATCTATATTTTCCATCGTTTGATTGTTTAACATCTTGTAATGAATAAGCATGAATATTAAGTAAACCGCAATTTTTAAATTCTTGTTTTGCAATACGATTATTACTACACATGGCACACATTAAAAATCTTTGCGAATGTGCACGTAACAATTTCATCCATAATTTATCAAGATCAACATTTTTATCATCTGGATTATTGGTTCGACCAAGAATTAATGTGTCACATGGACTTCCTGTTACTGTTGATAAACCTAAAATTTCTTAATTGTTTTTAATTGAATTCAGAACAACAAATGAAAGAAAAAACCTTCACAACAACGACCAGCAATAATTGATTCATAACTACCATTTAATTTTGCTAAAGCTTTTTCAATTAATGGAACCTGAATCAATGTTTTAAATTCTATTCAAATGGAAAAAGAAGTGACATATGTTATTTTTACCCAAAGTTGCTTTCGACGTGCTTGAGAATAGGCTAATCGTTTATTTAGCGTACACGGTAGACGATCATCAACAACAATTTGTGTCCATTCACCATCTTATTATTAATAATTTAATATAAAAAGAATAAAATATCAACAAAGTTGTTTCTTTTTTGTTACCTTTACATAATCGAACATAATATATTCCTTGATGATTATACTCTTTTGTAATCAGTACCTATTCATGAATTTTTTTTTATAAATATAGCAAAAAAAAGAAACTGAAATCATGAGACAATTAAATTTACTTTCATTAAATATTCAGGTTCTTCAGCAAGAACACTCAACGCAGTGATAAACCAACAATCACCTGAAATATAATAGAAAAGAAAAAAATAATTAAATTAAAACCTTTTTGTTTGTGTTCATCTGATAAAACCTAACGCTCCTTGAAGAACATCATTTGGTTTTGGATTTCTAAAAACTGTCCATTGCTTTTTTAGATTTTCATTCCATTCAGGTGGATTTATTTGATCAGGTCTCAACCAGTGAATATGATGATTGGATGAGACATCAGTTTGTTGATCAGGTAAGAAAGCTAAGGTCGATTGTGAAAGTGAATTTCCATTAATAAAAAGTGATTGAGATGATGCTGGAAAAGTTTCATCTTCAAATTGCCTATCGGACAATGTTAAACTATTGAGAAGTTTTTCAAACGTTTTTGAAGCAATATGTTCATCAGCTTGACGTTTGTGTGTTATAAGAACGCTACGCCGATAAATATTATCTTCAAGAATATTCTCATTATTGACATGATCATTTGAATTTTGATGACGATATGTCACTGGATTACTATATTAACAATTTATTTATATTAAAACAGTCAATAATTGATCAACTAACTTATTGGAAGGCAATGAGTTATTTTGAATAGTTGTTTTATTGATATGATTCCTGATAGGAATATAGACATTTACTTTATTTGAACCACAACAAGAACATGATGGAGTATCAATTTGATTTAATGTTTGACATAATCGACAATACCATGGACGTTGAAAAACAGATGAATTTATTGAAATATTTCTCTCTTCATTTGAATCAAGTTCATTAAACGAATTTGATCGATGAGTCTTATTAGTTTTTCTCATATTTTCTTCCTTGTCATTTTTTCCTTTATGTGATGAATCTGTTCTCGAATTTTCATGATATTGTAGCAAAATTGGCGTTTCTTCCCTAAATATATTCAGAATTCTTTCATCGAATTCTTCAGTTTCATCTGATAAACAGAAACGGAATCTTTCTCTTGTTTCAACGTATGTTTTTGTTTCTGTTTTCGCTTTTTCTTCAAACATTGTGAAAAGAACAACTGAAGTGAACAACAAGACAGTGTCATCTTGTGTGTCTACAAATTTATATTTACGACACGATTTATTTCTCGCATAGAAGCATAATAATGCCTATTTTTAAATAGTAATAATCGATAACACAAAAAGGAACAGAATAGTAAAAAGCTGCCAGAGAATGCGAATTTAAGAAACCTGACAAATAAGTCGTTTCTAATAGTCAACATAATACAAAGCATGACTTTTTTCTATTGATTACTCTAAATTTTTCGAGTCAACACAGGGCACATATGTTTTTTTTGTTTCCTCGCAAATACATTCGTGAAAAGATGTGTTTTATCAAGAGACCTTCCTTTGCCACGATCAGTAATCAATATTTGCTCAAAGAAAAATTAATAAATCAGTGGATTTTATTAATAGATCAAAATAGATATTCATTTCAGAATCGAAAAAATTCCATCAATTATTGCTGTACTTGGTGAAACAGATGATACTTCATAGTGACATCTACACCGAAAAAGTTATAGATTCATAGTTCTTCTCAAGAGAAGTAAAATTCTTTTTTGTTTTTCTAAGAGCGATTAGAAAATGAAAAAGTTCACTTACCTCAAATGATCAGTACTACGACTCGATTTATTCTTAAAGATAAATCTTTTTAGATGTTCCATTGAGTCAACGAGGAATGGTGAACAAAATAAAAAATGCTGGTAAGATCACACGAATGTTTTTATTTCATTTCGAATGGAGTTGTTCTCTTTTTTCTTTCTTTCTTTCTTACATTTCTGTTTTTTCCGATAAATCATCATAAAAAAATGATTCATACTTAAAATATAGTCAATAACTTTAAAATACTATTAACATGTGATTTACATCATAGCAAAAAAATGTATGCACAACAAAAAGAATCCTATGACAGTAATATACATTGTAACGAACGTAAAATCTTCGACTAGTATTTAAATCAGATGAAAATATGTTAGAAGTATTTGTGCCATAGACAAGAGGAATTTTAAGAAAAAAATGCACTCATGTGAAGAGAGCTATCGATTTATTATAGCAAAATGAAAAATTTTCTTTATATATTTTTATTTCATATTGAACAATTCATTGCTCTTTAGTTCAACTCTATTTCTTTAGTATTATCAATTCATTTCAATGAAGAAAAATGAAAATACTTTTGAGAATTTCATTCAAATTTTCCTTCCGATGTATTTAACTTTTCTTCTTATTCATCAATTAGAGATTATGTCCTATATTTCCTTTTTTAGATATGGATAATCTTTATACGTCACAAATAAAAGTTCATATTGTTGTTGACATTCTATTCGAAGTGAACTTTCATCTATATGCGAGAATATGTCAAGATAATTAGTCTATTGATGTTGAATGTTTTCATATTGATGTCGAATTTTTCCTCAAAAAATATCTACAATTGAAACATATTTAAATAAAAACGGGAGATAGATGTCTGTAATATTTGTATCATATCATTATTTACTTTCCATATCCATAAACATAATGAAACAAGATCTTTAATATATGCATTATTTTCAATAAAAATAAATCGAATAAGTGATGATAGTTCAATATCATTTGTACATTCTACTTGTAAATATTGTATATGAGGACAAAACTTAAGAATAAAATCAACTTGTTCGATTTTTGTCACATAACACCTATTGACTTTTGTAATATTCATAGTAGTCGATAAATTATGATGTTTTGATTGTTGACTGCATCCATGTAATTTTAACAATCGACTCGAATATGAAATTGTCAATGAATCAAGATTGTGTAAAATTTCCAATAGTTCGGTCAATACACAAGATATCATACTACTATTTATAGTTAAACAGGTAATGCTAGTTGAAATGATAATAGATTTAATATAATCATTGAGTAAAATGTCATAATCCCTTTCATCAATATTGCTAATAATAAGTTGAATACTTTGAGAAGATAGTATGGAAGAATTGAGCACATGTCCTGAATGCAAATTAGCAACCATATTCGAAAGATAAAACTATGATGTATATCATGCATATTATATTTAAAATAAAAAAGCTGTTAGCATAATTCTTGCGAGATTAAAATGTGACATACTATGAAACTATAAATATTGTAAATGAAGTAATTCATCAACATATGTTTCAGTTTAGGAATTACTATATCTACGGTTATCCGAACATTCGTAGTAAAAGATGTTAACTTTAATATATTACAGTGAATGTATAAAAAAAAGAAAAAAGATATATACCTTAAATACAGTCGTGTTTCACAAACCATATCGGAGTCGACTTCAGTTTTGTGGCTATGCATGATCTATAACAGTTTCTGACTAATGTCTGTCAGGATGATCTGTTCGAGGAGAGAGAGAGAGAGAGAGAGAGAGATACAAATTTCTACCCTAATATTTTAACACTACTTTGAGAACATATTTCATAAACATGAAATTCCATTACTATACACAAGTTTTCTTTATATACCTATATGGATGAATGGAATAAATAATTTTTTCAACACTCCATTCAGCTGTGTATCGATGTGACTTTCAAAGAACCAAATGTTGTTTAATCCAAAAAAATGTTGTAAATTGTTTAAGTAGATTATGATGATCATTAGACAAACTTGGCATCTTTTCATAATATTCGAATTGAAATTTACTTAAATAAGGTATATGTTGTGATATTAATTGTTCCCATTGATTAACATCGAGATAAGTAAAATTCATAGACATTTTACCAATAGATAATCCTTGTAATTTAGAAGTCATTTCCTTGATAAATATTTCGAATACATCAAATGGCAAATCTAATTCTTCGATAGTTATGTGTTAAATTAGATAATATTATTGGTATTTCATTTAGAATGATATCATGTAACTGACATAAATCTTTCACATTTACTCGGCAGAGTTGAGGTGTATATAACAATATATCAAATAAATTATCAAGAGTAAAATAATGATTAATAAATAAATATTCAATATTAGTAAATTTTTTGAATATTATCAGTAGGTAATGAAATCAATCTTCTATGTGAATTCGATACAAGCTTATTATAGTTTTAAAATGGTAAATTGAATATTAATTGATATAAATCAGTGAGTTTGAGTTATCATCGAGATAAATACATAATGAACAACAAAATTAGGTAAACAAGTTAAATCAAGTAAAACAGAGAGGACTTTATCTAATTTAATTCCATGTAAAGCAATTGATTGAAGACGATTGAAGGATAAATCAATGTTGTACAAGGAAAAAAATTGCATAACAGCCAACATATTTAATAATGAAAGCGAAATAATTATATGTTTATTTGGAATAATCATATATTCATAAAGATCTTCAATATCTGATTTTTCATTTGCAATAATATTCAATTTAAGAGGAATCAATGGATAATTGTTGAAAACGAATATTGAGATTAGAAAACACTTTATATATATGATAACCCATCAAGATGTTCGAAAATTTCATAGAAAATTTCATTTGAGAGAGTTTCTATATTGATGATCGGTCTACTATGTAATACAATAATATACACTATATATTTATCATGCTTCTTACTTTTTTTCATCTAATATTACTAAAAATAACCGAATAAATTGTAGAAATATAATAATCATAAATCAAAAGCTTACTGGATAATTTCTTTGAAGTTCTATCATAAAATTCATCAGTACTTGATTGTCGTTTAATTGAATTCATGACAATTTAGGAATGAGATAGATTTTTTAAAATCTATATAAATAGAAGAATAATAAATTTTGAAGTAGTGATTCCTTCTATATTTTTCTTCTAAGATCTAAGAAAGAATGTAACTAACACACATAGTTTATTGCAAAAAAACTCAGCAGTTATATATTGGTTGATGAAAAATATGTTAGATATGTGTCAAAGAAATGTATCTAACGAGGGATAAGAAGAAATCCTATCAATTAGTACCTGCTCTTGTAATATAAGGCATATCCAGGTCGAACTCACTCCATCGGGTCTGATGGGAATGCGTCGGAATCCTTGGCATTGGATTCCGACAGGAAGTTGTCGGATGCCGGAAAGTGTCGGATTTTTAGGGTTCCGACAGGATCCGGGTCATTCAGGCATTTTCCGACATCCGACAACTTCCTGTCAGAATCCAATACCAAGGATTCCGCCAATTTCCGACGAATTCCCATCGGATCCGATAATTTTTCGCTAGGATCCGACAGGATCCGACTATCGGATTGTTCGTCCTGGGTAGCGAGAAATAGAAATCAGTGTAAAATGCATGTAGTCAATGTTTAAGGTAATTCGACAATTTATGATTGCTTTCAACAGTCGATTAATTCATCATCTCTTTTATTTAAAAACTAGTTGATTGCTTGAAAATCGAAAGTAAAACTTTATGAATAATTATAAACAAATAATGCTTTTAAATAAACATCAAATCTTTTCTATTCAAATAAAATTTCCATTAGAAATTAATCAAGAGTTTTTTTTATTGACTATCAATTCTTTATTTATCCGACTTGAATCATTACTTGAACTTAATTGTATGATATGCGATCTACTTTAGATTATTTCTGAATAATTTTTTTGCTTTACCTCGTCTTTCATTATAAACTATTCACACGGTTTTTACTTTATCAAAACTAAAAAAATTTTATATCTCAAACTGCCCTGCAGATAAAGATTCATTATTTTCACTACATATTCCTGCTGAAAAACAAATCAGTCCTATTATATGTTTAATTATTGTTCATTCATTGCACTTTCGATGACCTAGTTCCTATCATTTTCTTATTTACTTCAACTTCGTTGTTTGATTTTTACTCATACAGACGATGATAATGATGATTCGAATAATAATCATATTATTCAATTTAACACATCTTACTATAAATATATAGATTCGATGAAATTTAATACATTAGAAATGTTGATGAAGAATATGAATTCAAAATTCAAATTTCTACATGTTAATATTACGCCTGAAGATGTGAATTATCTTGATGTTGCTCGTGAATAGGAACAAGTAATTTTCGAATATTTATTAAAATTAGATGTGTACTTAATTTCAAACATAATGAAATATGTCGATTATGAGAATGAAATATCAAAAAAGGGATGCAGAATCTGCTGGAGCTTTCAGACAGCACGGCACGCGGACTCAAAAACATTTCCTAGGCTTTGAATGTGTATCCGTTAGAATATCCCAAAATTTCCCCCAAAGACTCGCTTTTCCCAGCAGCGCCACTGCAGCCTACAAGTAGATTCTGCACCCCTGTACCAAAACATCATGGAAAATCAAATGAATTTATTTCACCATTTTCAATTGCAAGAAAATGGATCTTTGAAACTGTTATTGATATTGAAGATATTATTTATTCAATTTGTCCTTAAAAATATATTAGAAATAATCGCTTCTACTCAATTGCAATTTACAAACATTACTTCTAATTCTTGTGTTGAGTCATTATTCACAATTCTTAACTATGTTTTAATTGAAACACAGATTTATTATTTAGAAATTTGTCAACGATCAATTTCTATTGAAACGTTAAATCATATGATAGAATTAGTACCTAAATTTATGATATTGAAAATTGACTCATTATTATAATTATTATTATTATCACTAGAAGAAAATTTATCAACGAAAAGTGAGTTTCCAACACATCAAATATAAGTTAAATCACAAAAGTTTATATAGAAAATGTATTTGATATTGGCGAAATGAAAGATTTTCATTAAATTTTGTCCACGGATGAATTATTTATAAATCAATGTTATTAATAATATTCATATTGAAGTAATTATAAAAGAGTTCTTAATTAAGCTTATGAGTCATGCCAATCGTTAACTTCGTTGTTTCTGTTCTTGATGATAAAATGATTGAAAAATTCGAGAAAATGATCGGTGTTTAAAAAATTAAAAAAACTACTTCTTAATGATACAATTCAACGTATATGTGATAAGATTCATCTACAATGGAAATGACTATATTACTAAGCGTTATTGTTCTTTTTTTTTCATGAAAATTTGAAAGTATCTAGATATGTTTTCTTGTTCTATCATGATCCTGTTTTGACAAAAATTTATTTCATAGAAACATTAAGTGCAGATTCATTCTACTATCATCAAGCTGCGCAGTTCATTTCAAATATACGAAATGATTACTCAATAACCGTTGACCTTTTCAGCGTGTTTTTTCTTTTATTTTTTGTCTTGTTCGCATATAAAAGTCTATTGAAAAAGTTGAAATGATGAAATATATATATGTTTCTCAATCATAACGATACGAAAGATATGACTACACTTGAACGAAAACTAATTTTCAATGAAACATTAGATGAGCCAAAAAAGATATTTCGAAGTAAGCTATTTATCTAATGAAAATAAGATTATTTTGATATATTTATTTGAATAGATCAATCAATAACTTCTATTGAAGATTTATCAAATGAAATTTTTTAATGAAATATTTGATTATTTCAATGGTGATGAAATAGTTGAAACATTTTCTAAACTTAATTCTCGTTTTCAACAACTTCTTCATTCTTCATCAATTTTAATAAAAACACATTTTTATTTATTTTATTATGAAGAAATGATAAATAAAGATCATAAATTAGAAATATTCTCAAATAAATCATGTTCTAATTTAAAAATCTTATCTATTAGTTGCTCACAAAATATCATTCTTCTTGATGCTCATCGATGGGAACATTTTATTTTACATTATTATCCTGAATTAGAAAAATTCTATTTCATATATTATGATGGTATTGATAATGATAATCAATATGAAATATATTCTGGAGGAATAAATCAATTTTCTTCAACATTTTGGATCGAGCGAAAATGGATATTTAATGTTAAAATTGATAATACAGATATCGAATATATGATTTGTCCATACAAATATATCGATGAATATTTTTTTTTACAGAAAATTAATTGTTCCGTGTTTTTTTTCTTCAGAAAAATATGGTATGATTCTATACATGATAAGAATATTAAATATTCAGCATCAACTACTTTAATATTGGCTAATTTTGTTACTTCTTCATATGGTGAAATACCATTCGAAAAAACTAGACGTGTATTAACTATAACACAAATTTATCATTTAATTATTATTGAAAAGCATTCATCGGTTCATGTATTAATTCAATTAATTAGTTTATTACCTGATTTAATTACGTTCAAACTTTGTTCATTATCATCAGATGACAGAACACAATATATTGTCAGAGAACTTTGTAGACTTGGTTCAATAAAATGTCAAAGTAAAACTACTAAAGTGTGTCTTGAAGAAATCAATGATATTGACAATTTTAATTTTATTTCGGTCATTTGTCCTAGAGTCCTGCAGGTCAACCTTGTCCTACCCTACCCTACCCTGCCCTGCAGGGCAGGATAGGGCTAGGGTACAAAACTCGTAGGGCAGGGCAGGGTTAGGGTATAAAGCTCGTAGGGCAGGGTAGGGTAAGGTTACAAAAAAATATTTAGGGTATAAGTAAGGTGTAGCTCATACAAATAAAAAATTTATAGAGTAGAACTTAATATATATTTCTGACATCTTTTTGATCAAAAACAGTGTAAAGAGTGATGTCATAATCTAAATCGAATGGGTAGAATAACAACGAACGGAAAACAATGGCCTATTGTTTA